TTGTTCCTAATTATCTCCATTTTGCATACAAAAATCTTTTGCTTCAAGTAAAGTTGTTTTTTTTTCAAATAAGTTTCAATGTCATGAAGGAAATGTTTGAGACCAGGCACCACACTGGATCAAAGGTCATGTAGCAACTTTTATTTTGAAGGAAACTAACATGTGACCTTTGAACAATGACAATGCAAATTGTTATACCTACCGCTGATTGTCTTGTTCATCGGAATCGGACTCAAGATGTCTACAGATATATGTCCGACTCCCAAATTATAACCGTCGCTAAGCCGCCGTCACCGATTGCAAACATCATGCATCCTGTCAAGGAAGCTTTGATGTGGTCGTCTCTAGCATGGGGCTGTTTTTAAACCTATGAATATTCATGATCTCGGCAAATCCTTTCTTTCATTCACTTGTTTATGTAAACAAAAAGTCAACATTTAAAGAATGATTTGCATATTTCATGATACATAATAATGTATTAATTTGCTATAATTATGTTGGTGATTACACCATCGAGCTACCGGTATGTGTTTTACGATGACTCGGGCACCTGTAACTTTTGTGACGTAACGTGTCAAAGGTCGCAGGTCACATTATTTTGTTCCAGATGAACAATCACAGTGCAACCACTATCGAGCCGACGTGGAAATGGTGGATGATTGAAGACACACTGTGCCGATAATAGCGCCAGTTATATTCATGAAAATAAAATACAACTTACTTATGCAATAAGAACAGAGAATACCTTACAAAACAAACTGAGCCAGTATCAATGTCAACTTTACACACTGCATCAGTTCTATAGTAGCAATGTTTTTGCCATAACACTATCTTGCAACATACGAGCACCTTCAGTAATATTATATATAGTATTATGTTTATAAGTAACAAGTATATTTTTAACTTACATTTAGGACTACATGTTCATAATTCACATTTAGATAGCTGTTGCATTGACATCAACAATATATTTAGCACTATGGATATGCCATTTTTACCATATTACTTTTCAATGTCTTTTCAGAAATTGATTCATCTTATTAAACATACGTAAAGGTGACTAACACATGACAAAGACATAGATGCAAAGGGATTTGATCCTTTTCAAACCTTTAACCAATATATTGTCAAAGGCTTCAAACATTCCTTCGCATGTGGATTTTCAATCAGTCAGCTTTTCAATTTTAAACTGTAAAAATATTTCAATTGCGGCACATTTGAGCGGAAGTGTAAACAAGGGGAATTTGACTTACTCCATATGCGTTATTTATTGACAGTAGAGTTGTAAAAATGACACAGATATGTTGGAAATTTACTATTTTTTGTGATGTTGCAATTGCTATGAGCTTGGGGTATTCCACCCCCCACCCCCCAAATTATTTAAAGTCTTTTAACATGATGTTTCAGAAGGACATATTCTGCGTTTTGTGTAGGGACATATATGTTCAGATGGCATCCAGGCGGTTATGCCACTGTTGACTGTCTTGAAAGAGGTACGTGCTCTGTTCTGGAATTCAGTGTTGGAAGCTTGCAGAATTTGGTGTTTTCAAATATGTATTGTTATGTGGCAGCAATTTGTTTGAGGTGCTTGTACAATATCAAGTTTTGGTAGTGACCTTCAGAGCTATTAATTTAGGGTTACCTCTCTTAGTTGTTGGTGTGCAGTACATACTCTGCACCACTGCTTGACACCTTCATTACCCTCCCTCCCTGTAAAGAGACACATTTTATGTTCTGATCTGGCTACTAATGCAATAAATATTTTATGAGTGTTTCAGTCATTTTCTGCCACTGACACTTACGACTTACAACAATCTCTACTGCCACATAAAAATAGCATCCTCGTGTCATGGAAGTATGATCACTTACGAAAAGTCGCTGAATATTCATAGTAACATTCATATAATCTTTTTTTCAAATATCTTACCTGTGAACTTGTTTATTTATGACAAACATTTCCCAAATCCACGTATTTCCATTGAAATTGACATTCGCGGCATGGCCGCCCTCTCACTGTCAACAGAAGTTACCCAGAAAGCAACGTCACACAAGTTTGATCATTTGATTGGTTAGCTTGTTGCATAACCAGGATGACATGTATGGACGATGTCTTGTGTCAAAATCCGAATTAGAACAGTCCGCAGTTGTTTTATGATATCTTTGTCCATCAAACGTTCATTTTATGTTTTAATATTGAAAAAAAACATGAAAAGTCACAAATATCCAGATTATTTACAAGGTTGATGCAGGGAGTTATTCTTCAGGCTCATCATGACAGGGGCACCAAAACTCAGAATGTCGACGCACAACACGAACTGGCGTGCAGAAACGTAAATGTGTCCAGTGCTGACATGTAGGGTGGGTACATTGTGTCCAGGTTGTTATAATCAATGAGACATTAGCTCGAACCTTATCAGGTACAAATTTGTTACATTTGCAGCAGAGTTCGTCATCACTTGTCACATCACTATCAAAACTATCGTCCTGATGCGCGTTGGACCATGAAGTTCCAGAAGTACTTGCATTCGTTGCAGTGACAGTAGTTGTTTTTTGTAAAGATTTTCTTGGTTTAGCTGCTTGCTTTCTTTTTTTGGGTGCCGATTTCACAGTCTGGTGGGAAATAATTTTATTCAGAATGACGTCTTCGGTGATGGCCTTGCCCCTGACAACAGCGCTCAGAACGTTTCTCTTTTTAGTAGGCACAGCTTTCTTGAAAAGTGCAGTTGTCTTGTCTTTAAAGAATCCTGCTACATCATTGCCCTCAGTAGGTGAAGTGGCAACCTTGTCTCCAACTGGCACACGTGAATCAAAAACACCAGTTTCAGGATGCAGCAAAGGTTCAGTCGACTTACAAACTGTCGATGGCGCAAAGTTGATATTGGCGGTGGTAGACTTGTCAAATGGGTAGACTCCACATTTCCTGAAAGAGGATTGCAGATTTGTTGGTGTCAGTGACAGGTTATAAGCTCTACAGCCAAGTTCACAAACAGAATGTTTATCTACTGAACTTGAACAATTTCTCAAAATGAACACCATGCCGTTCATATGCAACAATCTCACACGTGCACAGAGAACGGCCATCAATAGTCTCAAAAACAACCCAGAAATCGTGATTAAAAAAGCCGATACGGGATCAGCAGTCGTTATTCTCAACACCACTGATTACATACAAGAGGCCATACGTCAACTCACTGACACAAACTTTTATCTCAAAATAGACCATGACCCCACCATGGAATTCGCCAAGGAGATCACACAACTTCTCACCAAAATCTTCACCAAAGAAGAGATCACTTACAAAAATATTCAATGGACTGTTACCTAAAGACCCCAAACCAGGCCGGTTCTACCTCCTGCCCAAAATACACAAAAACCTAACACCTGGCAAAGTACCGGGCCGCCAAATCATAAGCGGAAACGGCACCACAACTGAACTGATCAGCAGCTTCGTTGATGAACACATAAAAGAGTTCGTCAAACATTATCCTAGCTACATTAGGGACACCACCCACTTCATCCAAACCGTGGGCTCCATCTACCTACCACCCAATAGTGACATCATTCTGGTCACTATGGACGTCACATCCCTTTACACCAATATACTCAACACGGAAGGCCTCCGTGCAGTAGCTCAGGCCATTAGACGTTTCAAACCTGACTGGTCCATCAGCCCCACCAGCTTACTCTCTTTACTTAGACTTGTTCTATACAAAAACAATTTTGTTTTCAACAATAAACATTTTTACAAACCGGAGGAACAGCTATGGGTACCAAACTAGCCCCATCATACGCAAACATTTTCATGGGAGAATTAGAAGAAAAACTTCTAAAAAAACCCACTGATAGCCCCAACCTATACGTCAGATTCATAGACGATATTTTCCTCATTTGGACTTGGGGCTACACTAGGTTAGAATCTTTCATCAAAGAAATGAACCAATCACATCCCACAATCAAATTCACTGCCGAATTCTCTAGAGAAAAAGTAGCTTTCCTAGACATATGGGTCATATTCAACCAAGAAACCAATAAACTGGATTTTGACCTATATTGCAAACCCACAGATACACACTCCTATCTGCTATATACCTCCTGCCACCCGCGACACATTAAAGTCAAAGGACCGTACAGTCAATTCCTCCGACTCAAAAAGATCTGCAGCTCGCAATCACAATATGAGTTCCACAGCAACAATCTAGTAAAGTATTACCTCAAGAGAGGTTATCCCAAGAAAATTCTCTTGGACAATGAAACAAAAGCCAACGCTAAAGAGAGAACATCCCTCTTAACACAAAAACAGACACCCTCCAAAGACACTAAACCAGTGATCTTTATCACAGATTACAACCCCACTGCACTCAAGGTTAGCTCCATGATTAAAAAATCCTGGCACCTACTTCTAGGATCAGACACCTGCAAAGACACCTTCCGAGTCCCACACATCACGGCATACAGGAAAAACTGCACTCTCAGAGACATCCTCATGAGAGCGGCAATCACCCATCCGCCACTCAAACCACAAATCAGTGGCCGAACTGTGCCCAATTTAGATGATAGCTGTCACAAACAGGCATGCAAAATCTGCACAAATATGATATCGGTCAACACCTTCAATAGCCACACAACAGGAAAAAAATATAAATGCCATCCGCATTTCACTTGCAAAAGCAGAAACATAATCTACCTGCTTAACTGCACCAAATGTGGCAAACAATAAGTAGGTGAGACCAAACGACACTTCTGTATCAGACTCAAAGAACACTTTGCAGATATAAACCACCAAAGGGACAAACCTGTCGCTAAACACTTCAACTCCGTAGGACACTCAACCAGAGACCTACACTATCAAATCATACAACAGCTCAAAACAGACCCTGAGTCAGCTCAGAGCACGGCCAGGCGCCGGTCCATTGAACTTAAATGGATATTTGATCTCAAAACCATCCACCCGCAAGGCATGAACGATAAGATCTAATCCTGGAATTCCCTAACCCACTTACCTATACTGAACTTGTAGCATTACGCATATACGTATGACGGAGGTTGTTGTAAATTTTAGCAAAAGGTCCAAAGCAACCAACATCCATTGGCTGTAAAACATGGGACGTGTGTGCAGGCAGTACAAACAAAATAATGTGATGCTGACGTGCCCATTCAATGAGTGGAATAGATACGTGGGATCTATGACCATCGTACACAATAAGAAGTGGACTATCTGCAGACGCGGCGACAGCATGCTTCAGGAAATGCTGTGTCAGATAGTGCTGAAAAATCCCCGTGTTACAGTCGCTTACAGTGCCTGCTGCTCCAGGGGTACTTCCTGAAAGGAGTTCTTCCCGCATCCTCTTGCCCTTGAATACAAAATATGGTGGTATAGAACTACCAGATGCATTGCCGCAACCTATAACAGTTGTAGTACTTGATCTTGATGTTGTGACTGCAGCTGGAGTACTCTGACTCGATGTAAGAACTGATGGTGGGGCATGATGCTCCACAAGTCCCTTTTCATCAACATTATAAATGCGATGAGGGCATGTCTTCAGGTTGTACTTATCCATGATGTGCCAAAGCTCATTAAAATAATGAGTGATCGTCTCCTCTGAGGTAGCTTTTGCTCTCTGTATCTCAAGGGATCGTGGCTTCTTCACTGATAGATCAGGCCATCGCTTCATAAACCCATAGAACCACTGAAGTGATAGGGGTTGTTCATCGTTTGACTTCTTTCCAACATATATTGCTAGGTCTGTGGCAATAGTAGTAACTTCAGCCCTTGTATAGCCATACCCAAAATTTGCCATGGCTTCAATATGTGAAACAAGTCCCTGTTCTTCTTCCATGGACAATAGTGGTTCTCTACCAGTGGTACTACATTCAATAGAAACCTTCCCACTAATCCTGTCATGCAGTGTAGCAAATGGAACAGCAAAGGTAGTGGCAGCTTTCCTAATTGACATTCCATCTAAAACAGCATTATATGCCTTGTCTAGGGCTGCAGACAAATATTGCCTATATTGGCCTCTTCTGGTTGGTTCACCATTGGTCAAAACCTGTAAAAATAGAGCTTTATTTTATATATCACCAAAACTCCAGAGACAGAAGTTCTCAAAAAGCATAAAGTTTTCAATAAGAAATGACCCTAATTTGTTTCCATAGTTTTAAATTTTGGCGAGCACATCACATGTCTGATCACGTGACATTTACACCATGAAAGTAAACAAGCAGACGACAGGTGTGCCGTCGATTTACAACGTGCGCATTTATTACAATTGACATTTTATTTGAGCTGATCAAGTAACATTAGTGATTTCGGGTTAAAAAGTAGTTGTTTGCTGAATATGAGCTATTACTTACGTTTGGTAACTTGACACGAAGCATTTTCCGGTCCAAGCGAACGAAAGCGGTGTTGTCAGAAGATCAAAGCTGCAGGTACTGTAATTTCTCGTTACATATCGCGATAAATATCATTCAAAATGGCCGATCGAAGTTACATGTCGATCGAACTTGTGTGACTTGACGACACTTACCTCACTGGCCAAAGCAATGTCTTTTATGGCTTTGACCAGTCTAGGGGTAACTGATACACCAGATGAATTGGTCAAAAGGCTGTGTACAGTGGGATCAGATATCCCATTCACATGCACCTCTATACGTGTATTTGTATACGTATATTTGTATACGTGTATAATTATACATATGTGAGTTTTCTTGCTTTGTGAACGCATTTACTCGTGTGTCTATTTACACCAAGAGCAAGTTTGCCTCATGTTTGGAGCAGGTGCAAAAATATATGTAAATTTGTACAGTATGCATATGTTGCAACGTGAATGTTTATGCCACATCAGATGATGATCATATCTGTTGATTTGCCAACACCAAACAAACTGTCAACAGTTCTTTATTCTAAAGTTGGCGCTATTCACTATAAAGCAATACAAACTTTTACGCAGACATCCAAAGCTGGGTGGACAGTGTGTTCTTTGGGTCTCAGGCGTCAAAAAAATGGTCAACACATTTTGCTTCATGTGAAGATTTTTGTAAGGTAACATTTTATCATTTGACTTTGACTGGAAAAAAGCACATTTTTCATGTTGTAAGTCAACAGACTGATGAATATGTGTCTTACACCATTTACATACATTATTTACACACCTAATTAATATTCATGTCAATGCATAGTAAATGTACATATACACACTTTGATTTTCATTTTTTACTCTGATGACACCAACTATTATGGTCAATTACGGTCAAAATTCAGAATATCACAAATAATTGCATTTTGTACAAACTACTAAATGCTTTATTGCACGGATCCAAATTATGGGCTGATTATGGACCACATTAGGATTACCAACTATGGCATTTCAATGTTTCAGGATCAACTATGGGTAGACAGCGATTTTCTCCAGCTGTTTTCAGACGCAGCAGGTGGGGCTGGCTTTGGGGCCAACATGCAGGGCAAATGAGTGGCCAAACCAGTGGGTGCCACCAGTATTATATTCTGTTGGAGGCAAAGTATGTCTGTATCACTACCAACACTATTGCCGATGCTCTCTTGAGGTTTCAGCGCAAACGCTTCTGAGAGGCAGCACCATTCGCAGACCAGAACCCCACACCTTTCCCGTGCAACATATGGCTGATCTGAGGCAAGAAGCGGGTAGACTCCAACAACAATCTCTTTCTGCGAACACATGGTCCACTTACCAAACATGCATCAATGCCTTACACCAGTTCAGGTCCACACATCAGCTACAAAAGGTGTGGCCAGTCCCACTGGATCAGGTTGTAAACTTTATTGCTTATCCGTCAGTCACTCACAACTCCCCTAACACAGTCGAGACTTATATTGAGGCGCTGTCTTCACAGCACAAATTCCACAGGCCCGATTGTACAAACCATTTCCTGGTGGGCAAGCTATTAACAGGCTTACACAAATCAGCGGGCCAACCAGACAGCAGAAAACCCATCACTGCAGATCTGCTACAGGTAGTAACCAACAACCTGCCACACGTATGCTTGTCAGCATATGAAGCCAGACTGTTCAAGGCAGTCTACTGCACAGCCTTCTTGGGTTTCTTTTGGGTAAGTTAGCTGGTCCAAACTGGACCCTCCAAACCAGGTTGTTCCATCCACAATCTAAGTTTCTCTGGCAACCCCCTATAGCTGTCAATCCATCTCCCACACTCAAAGACTGATGTTACAATGTTATCTATACTAGGTAATCCCCTATGTCCCGTAGTTGCCAACAAGCACTGTCTGGAGGCGCGACCCCCCTGGCCCGCAACATGCATTTGTTCATTTCGACCATTCCCCCGTTACTAGGTACCAATTCCAGGCACTCCTTAAAAAGGCCTTAGCACACAGCAATATAAACACTGCTTGCTATTCTTCTCACTCCTTCCGCATTGGGGCAGCCACATCAGCAGCCATGAAAGGGGTGCCTGAACACCTCATACAGCAATATGGCAGGTGGAAGTCAGATTGTTACAATGCTTACATATGCTTACCAACAAATTTAATGCTACATATTCTAAATGTATTCATATTCTTAATGCTAAATATTCTAGTCAAGGTACCGTATATCGCAGTGTATAAAGCGACCCCATGTATAAGACGACCCCCCTGTACAAGCCTTCGAAATGGACCCAAAATCCTATGCTCCGTGTATAAAGCGACCTGGAATGAAGCACATCACAAGTGCACACACAAAGCTTATATTAGAAATAATAATATGTTTATCTTGCGTTGTTATTTCTACGATGATTGGTCGACATTTTGTGTTTACATGGTGTGACACCAAAATAGTGCCCATAAAATAAAATTCATTTATGAAGTAATAAGAACATATTTCAAGCTACGAGGCATTTATTAACGCATGCCCACTTTTCTTAATTTAATTAATTCACAACTTTGTTAATTATTTACATACATAAATCCATTCATCATTCAAAATGATACATAAAATAACAAAAGTATTTTCCAGGCTTATTTACAGTTTGCTTTAATTGGAACAGAACCGAATCACAGATCGGCCTCAGTGAAGCAATCAAATTCTGAGTCGGATTCTTCAGCACAGAGAATGTCCCAGGCTGTCGAATCTGTTTTGTCGTCGTAGTTATCATTTAGTTCATCCTTGAAATCATCTGGATGTCGGCGACTGTGTTTGTTGAGTTGGATCTCTCGCATTCAGCATTATCAAGATCCTCCTACAAACAATTATCCTCGGATCCCTCCATTGCATTGGCAATCCCACACTTTAGGAAACTTCGTTTTACCATGTCAGGTGGTATTTCCATCCATGCATTCATGACACATTCCACAACAACAGGTAGCGGGGCCTTTCTTTGTTTATTTGTTTTTGTGTATGTGTGGTCACCATTCACCATCCACGTAGTCCACACCCTTCTCACGTTGGCCTTGAAGGGTTTGTTTGGGGAGACGTCACAAGTGGTTGAAACAGGGAGGTGTGTCCACAGCCTGCCGTATTTTACTGTCCACCAACTTCTTCTCTGCTTCACACAAATGTGCACGAAACATGTCTCACACAAGCAGGGACTTGCAGCCTCTGTCAGCAACGGGTCTATTCATCCACACATTCTCTATCCACTTGTGTACTAGAGACTCGTCCATCCACCCTTTTCTTGTAGTGTGACGTACACGCCACTGGGGAACTTGTCTTTACGCATCGTTTTCCGCTTGAAAATCAGCATTGGGGTTAGCTTGGTTCCATCAGCCATGCAGGTTAACACCACATGTACAAACTGGCACCCTTGAAGTTCCCCTGGTTTTGATGGTCCTTGATCCAGGCATGTCGAAGTCAAGAGGAGTACCATCCAAACTGCCGATCTGGCTTAAATGGTAATCAACTTTCTGCCTCTCACGGATGACAAACTGGTGAAAAAACTCCACTTTAGTTTCAACTTCAGCAGGAAGTTTCTGGGCAATGAGGGTTTTCCGCCTCAGTTCGAGGTTGTGTCGCCTTAAGAATCGCAAACACCAGTACTTACTTCACTTCTTAATGTTCACAGTTTGGATGGTGAGCTTCAGCTACATGGCCAGGGCACCGCAGTACTTGCTTCTGAGGGGCACCAGTCCGGACCAACCGAGGATGCCATGGCTGGTGCGAGGGGGAATGAGGTGGAAGGATCATTACATCATCATCAATGCTGCACAGGCGCTACTGGCATGATGCCAGGGATCCAGTAAAGATCGAGGGGATGCAGAAGAACTTTAACTGCAGGCTAGCCAAGTGTGTCAAAGAGCTTCGCAGAACAATAGTGCCACATCCCAAGATCCTGGCATCAGACAGGACATGGTACCCCTGGGAGGGCATCCATCTCAGCGATAAAAGACTGTATGTTTATTGCATGCCCTGGCACTTGTTTTACACTAATGGAAGGATGGTATCTCCAAAGGTCAGTGTTTCTTTTCACTACATAGGCAAGCTCGGCAACAATGCTATCTCTGCGTATCGTGTGGCCGTGGGTGTGGGGTAGCACTTTGGTGTTTTGTGGCGGGGTTCTTGTGAGCTACCCTGCTAAGCAACAAATAAACTTGTTTCCAAATTAATACTAGCGCTGAATGGTACCTGCTTTTCTGCGGGAACCTTTCCGGGGTTACCTGCTTCTCAGTGGGAACCTGGTCTTTCCCGACTTTTCAGCTGCGGAATCGTGAAAATAGCTTATGTTGCCACATATATTGGACCGTCGGTGGTAGCTTACATTTGGGCCGGCAGTGGTAGTTGCTACAATGGTTTAACTAATTGGGACAGGCAGCGGTAGTCGCTTTGGCCGGCTATCTAGGGCCGGGCAGCGGTAGCTGACTTAGGCCAGCAGCAGTAGCTGCTTTTGGCAGCATGGTAGTTTCCAAGCAATGGTAGTGTTTAATTATGCAACCGTGGGGGCCGAGTAGTGGTAGCTGCTATTTGCAGTTGGGGACGCTAATGCTAGTACCTGCACACCCTCGGCCATTTAATCCAATCTCATCTCATGAGATGGTGGCCCATGCTTCTCCTTTGGCATATCACATGATAAAGGAATATCTATGTTAGACCCCTCTACTAACTACACCTATTCCAAATTTCAATACATTTTGAATAAAGATGAATATAAACCTTCTCTATATAGTCCTGTTATCAGGTTATACTTTCTGTACAGACCTGTAGACAGTCATGACTAGGACACAAACCAAAATATTTAACAATCCACTTTCACTCACCTTTCTCAACATCAGATTTCAACTTGGTGGTGTGATCTGCCTCTTCACTTTCAGACACTCTATCATGGCTCTTGCTGAAAGACATGAAGCTGCAAGGATATAGTTAACACATGCAAAAGAGTCAATTTAAGAGATAAACAATGAGTGGGAGTTGTTTATTGTATGATAAACAATGACCACAAGTTGTTTATTTCTTGTATGAGA